TTGTAACCCAGTTCTGTACGCATAAATAAATAAACATGTAAAAATAAAGATAAATGGGTATTTAATAACTAGATGATAGGTAGATAGATAGATAAGTAGATAGAAACTATGATGATGTTTCAACAATTTTGACAATGACTAATCTAGGTAAAGCATATACAATTCTGTTTCATGCTACTTTTTCAGGCAGGTTTAAATCTGAAATAAAGTCAAAAACTAAAGTCATACATGAAATCTTTTTCTCTTGCATACCACATTTTATATAACATTAAATATGATTTGCATACATTTTGGGATATGTGTGTGTGTGTGTTTGTGTATCTCAGTCATTTCTTATCACCACATTACTGGAAGGCCTGCAACTTTGACCAACAGAAAAACTTGAATGCTTCATAAATACTTAAGTTTTTGAATGCCTGATAGTTATTAATTTTATCAAAAAGAATAGAAATTTCATTTTCATATTTATTTGAGAGGAGCCATGATTCTTTGGTGTCTACAGCAGTGGTATGGTGGCCCAGGTCACCTGGTGTCTGGTGGCTCCGTGTGTGACTGTAAAGGAGGAGAAACAGCAGGCTCCTTCTGTCCTGGGTCAGTTTGGGGACCTCAGGATTGAGAAGAACCTGAAGAAGCCAAAGTCTCTCTCACACTCTTCAAGCTTTGTTTGTCCAGGACCGTATCAGACTATTTCCAGCCCCTCCCCACCACCACCAAATCTGGACTCCAGCCCCCATCTTCACCCCAAACATGCCTTTGTACTTGCTGCTTGTGGTTCACTCAGACCGACTCTTAGCCTGGGTTCCAGGCATCTATATGGACAAAATTATTCATTTCTCAGATCTCTCCATATCATGACTATATCAGAAATGTCTTAACTAACCATTCCATCTTGAGCAATTCTGTGTTATACTCTAATGACTCTTTCCCCCATTTGTAAGAACTGATCTTATTTGCATGTGTATTATCAGTGGTCTTCCTAATGTCCATCCTCCCTGTCATATATAGCCCATGAAACCAGACACAACCCTTTTAGTTACTCAAGTGTGCATCTCCAGTGTTAAAAGCTCAGTGTGACCAAGGGCAGGATTATTCCATGTTTGTGAATACAGTAAATTTGGCTCATTTTTTTATTCCTCTGGACAATGCGTTTTCAAACTCTTTGTACCTTGTGTGGATAGTAAAAGTTAAATGTCAGCCACCTTTATATAATCATATTTTACCATTATGTTATCAGTTCAAAAACATTTTGGTTGACTTATCGGGCAATTTTGTCTTCTTACCCTGATTATCCACTCCACCCAAAAATGTCCATCATACAACAAAGAATGACTGGATAGACAAAGGCAGAGAATGGCGAGATAACCTCCCATCAGGAGTATGAGGATACTGACAACTTTCACATGTACTGGGAGACATGAGGATCTCAAAATTATTTAATACATCTCCCTGCCTGCAGTTTTTATTTAATAGTTCTGTACAATAAAGTTCCTTCAGATTGCTAGACTATGTCTATTATTCCCTGTGTTACTTATCAGTATAATTTTAATGACATTGACTTTTACCTAAATCAGTAGTTCACACAACTGAAGTCATCATCATCAGAAATTGTATTTGTTCTTTCTTTTCTTTCTCACATCTCTGTCAGTTACAAATATGCCGTCTTCCAACAGATACAGTGTTTACTTTGTCGGCAATCTTCAGCGTCTAACTGTCCATATTTTATATACATACATTTATTTAAAAAATTCTTATACTTGGGAATTTTCACCCTAGAAGAGAAATATTTTCCATTAAATTCTGAATTCACTTTATTTAACATTTATAATTTTATGAACTGTAAATGATTTGATAAAATTATTAAGAAACAGAAATGACACTTTCCTAGTTGCTCAACAATGCAAATAATAAATGTATTCTGTCAACCAAAATTTAACTCTGGAGTTGATATGGGAGCCATGTCCTTATTTCTAATTATAATCTCCATGATTTTAGGCATATTTAAAGAGACTTCCATTCTCCCTGGGGTTCGCAGATTGCCTTTACATAGTAGCATTTTGTTCTTTACATATTAGTATTTTGCTAAATAATTTCTAGAGTATCTATCATACAACATATTGAAGTTCCTCATCAATAACAGCTAAGTTTGTCCCTAGAAATTTTCATACAACTCTTTCAAGAGAAAGGAACTCCCAAAGGAACCAAATCAGTCAATACCTTGACTTCATATTTCTGCTTTCTGAACTAGGAAAGCATAAATGCCTGTTCCTTTAAGCCACTTTGTGACTCATAACAAATAAAAACACAAATATGGTTTATTGAAAACATTGGATAAGACCTGTTACAGAAGTTAAATATTAAGCCTAATACAGTAATCTTTCACTTTTTTCCATTTATCCTGTCTTTCCCAGGTGGATTTATCAGGGCTACATCTGCTTTGTAATATAACCACTCCAATGCACAATAAGTATTGCGATTTGGAAGAAAATAAGAGTGTTCTGGTATGATATTTTAAAACAGCAAAGACTCACCTGACCAAGGTAAAAGGGGTGCCATCGAGCCAAATCCATTTCTCCTTTTGGTTTTTGTAGTACAAGCTAATGAAAAAAATCTGTTGACTTAATTCACACTGCATCTTTGACAAATGCAATAAAAAATTCTGCAGAGAGAAAAAAAAATCAGAAAGTAGAACTTTGCCTCTGAGAAATAGGACTATAATTGTTTAAATATCTTTCTTTCATTGATCAGTTTTTCTTTACACTCCGTTTGATTATATGCAAAGAGATGGAGGGATCAGCACTAGTTTACTTAAAATTATTGATTGTTGACTGCTGATGACTCCTTTACTCATGAACAATTGTTTTTGCCTATATTACATTTTGTCATATTTTTTGGCTATAGATTAGGTAAATGAGCAATAAAACTCATAGATACAATCACTTAGACTCTGCACATATGTCACACTATTATAAACACAGAATCAAAGGAGAAGAAATACGAGTTTTAATGGGTTGTAGTGAGCCTAGAGTTTTTCATTGGATTGTGTTACAAGTTAAAATCTTTAAAAAGAAGGTGCATTAACTAAAAGAAGAGTGTGTGGGGAGAGAGGCAGAGGAGATAAAAATATGTCAAAGGCACATGAAAAAACAATTTGAGAAACAAAGATGAAGGAGCATGGGGTCCTTCATGTGTGTAAAGAAGCTCATGGTTGTGAGCCCGAGTAGGCTGCTCCAGAGCACTGGCTGGGGGGCCTCACCCACAGAGGTGGCTGGATGCAGGCAGGAATCAAGTTAAAAGTTAACTGAAACACATGATCTGAACTTTATCCTGAGAGCTAAATAAAGCCCTCCAGGTATTGTTAAACTTACCATTCAATATTACAGTCAAATGTAGATTCCTGGCCTTCCCCGGAGATGCAATGGTTAGTTACAGCACAGCACTATGAAGCTATATACAGCCCCTGCAGTACAAGTTCTATCCCTGGCCCCAGGACCGACCCACATGGCCAGAAGACTTCTCCTGTCCTGCCTGCTGCTCCCCTCAGCAGTAGAGCTTCAGTAGAGCTTCAGTAGAGCCACCTGTTCTGTTTCCCGCTTTGACTCTAGTGAATCTGCTCACCAACCCACCCACACACACCTCTGGATTGTACCCCAGTTCTTGTATAAATAAATAAATAAATCTATTTTTAAAAACCGTTAAGGTTCCTGTTATTGCTATAAAGGAAATTCTTTAGTGGAACACAAATCTTACATGATTGTTCGCATTTTTTAATTTTCTGACACAAAACGCACTAAAATTTAAAAAAGGAAGTCTTATCCTTACCATATCTTCTTCAGTTTCCACTTTAACAAAGCTTGAATTTAAACTAGAGCAGTAGCCAGAACATTGTTCCCAAGGAAATAAGATTCTGGAGAACAAGTAGCAGTTTCCTCCACGCTGATGCCAGTTGTGTGGACAAGAAGGATGTTTCCCAACTGTTACAAAAGATAGACTATAGCTGAATGTCTTCCGTCAGTGCTAGAGATAGCCAGTAAATTCATAAAGCATTCTAGCCTCTACAAACAACACACGTTGTTTTATATTTTATTGATGTGAACTTAAATTTAGTGATAGTTATTTTACATTCATAATTGATCACATTGAAAAGATTTTGTTCTTCAAAATTCAAGAGACTACATTGTGGAAACAAACTATTTTTAACCAAAAATGTAAAAAGTATCATTAAGTCCAATATAAATCGATAGATTTCATTGAAAGTATTTTAAAAGAAACATTGGGCCTCAATTCATGCAGAATTCATGAGTCATTCATGCAGAATCTCCCCAGGTATTAATACTTAGCCTAATTACATGTCCTCCTCTCCCCAAATTGCAATTCAAAAATCACTGACATGATACACTAATGAAAAGTTTGATCATTTTCTAGTTTATTTCCTTCGGACTTTAGTTGCTGTGTGGACTTGTCATACTCATATTGTAGTTTGATTTGTATGTTTATGTCTCTATTACATTAAATTATTCAATGCAAGTGGTGTTTCATAATCAGCTTTATATTTCCTATGTCAGTACAGTGTCTTGTGCAAAGGTTGTCCAGTTACTGCTGGAGTGCCCAGCCCAGCACTAGTGAGGCCATCACATAGGTGTCCTCTCTAATTTCCCTTACAGAAAGTGGCTTTGCCTGAAATAATCTTGCTTTTTGGTCAATAACCTTATCCCACCATCTATCTATCTTTAAAAGTTCTCCACTTTGGTAAGTTCTTGCAGATACTACTAGACAGGATACTGCCCATCTCACAAATCATATAATAAATTAATTAAATATGTATAATTGTTAATTTTTACCAGTATATATTAAGATCTGAGAAGTATTGGTGCTACAAGTAGATTTCACTCATATATGCTTACTGTATACAGTTGTATGTATCAAGCAACTTAACTAACACGACGTGAATTCTCCCCTCTCTCCTACAAATAATAGTATGACTCCAAGAATCCCAAACTTACCTATTCCATTGGCTCCATTCTTGGATGAGTTATTTCCTTGACATTGTTCTGTGTTAAATGAGTTTTGAATCACTGAAAAAGAAAGATCATGTTTAAATACAGAGAGAAAAGTAACTGGACAACCTTTGCACAAGACACTGTACTGACATAGGAAATATAAAGCTGATTATGAAACCTCACTTGCATTGAATAATTTAATGTAATAGAGACATAAACATATAAATCAAACAATAATATGAGTATGACAAGTCCATACAGCAACTAAAATCAGAAGGAAACAAACTAGAAAATGATCAAACTTTTCATTAGTGTATCATGTGTCAGTAACATCCAACAAAAGTCAGGAAACTAATCAAAAGCAGGAATTACATCTTTTCAGAGATGTCTCAGTTTAGATATAGATGTTTCATATTACATGAGCTCACTTAACTACTTTATTAAATAAAATTTATTAACAGTGTATGAAAACTTCTCACAGTTAGATAAAAATTATTTCACTAGGAAAGGAAGGAAGGTAAAGCAACCATGAAAACAAGTATTAAGTAAGGCTCCTCATATACTTTAAAATGAACAACAATTTGCTGTATGTGTAAGAAATCATATTCAGTTGGTGAAAATACTACACTTAGTCTGGCATTATCTTTAACAAATTTCATTGGGTAAGTAGGAAAAAAAAGTTTTATATTGCCACTTGCACTTCGTAGTCAATACTCCAACAGACAAAAGAAGCATCAGGCAGATGATCCCCAGAATCACGGCAAAAATTTTCCATGAAGAAGATGGGGCAGGACGATCTATAGAAAAGAGGAATATATCTTGTGACATCAATTTACAAATGTTCATCAGAGTTCATTTTCTCTTTCATGTGTAGTAAACTACAAAACACAGCTCACACCTGTTATTAGGGAAAAGCGAAGTAGTTTGTAAAGCATTACTCATTTTGAGTGTGTTAGCTTAAGTCAAAAACATGAAGGCGAAGTGAATTCTAAATAAAACATACTCCTGCATCTGTGGGGAGATAGGACATAGACTCCACTTCATTTTGTCAAATCAGAGGAGGGAAAGAGGCAGCTGTGAAACACTAATAGATTTTAAAAAGATCTTCAAGGGTAAGAGCAGGTTATCAGGAGATTATAATTCCTTGCACCTATATAAAACAAGAGTTGTTCACTGTGTTGCCAACAGAACTTGTTGATTTCCACTGGGGGCTCATGGAAAGTGGCGGAATTTCAGAAGAACTGAAGACCCCTTCTGTGGTACAGTCTACAGGGACTGCCAACATTTGTTGGGTGTAGTGAAGTATGAATTAAATGTTTCATTATTGAAGAAGTATGAATTAAATGTTTCATTATTGTAGTGTATCATATGTCAATATCTGTCAAAAATCAAGAAACTAATCAAAAGTAGGAATTATATTTTTTCAGAGTTGTCTCAGTTCAGATACAGATGTTTCATATTATAAGAGTTTGCTTAATGACAACAGAGTTGAGATCGTCCTCATAAAATATGCAACTCAAATATTAAATTCATTCCAGTTTTTATAAAAGAATGTAGTCTTTTGGGTAGTCACTGTTCGATCTTGAAATCCTATAAAAATCAATAGATAAATTAAAATATATACCTAAGGGGCCCTCCCTGGTGGCACAGCGGGTTAAAGCAGAGCACTAAGAAGCTACAGTGACTTTCGCATGAGTTCCATCCCGCCTGCCCAGAAGGTGACCACAAGTGCAACAGACCTCTCCTGACCTGCCCGCTGCCTGTTCTACTCCCCACTCTGTCAATGGTGAATACACACACACACACACACACACACCTAAAAAGGCAGAATGTGAGAGGAGAAAATAATGGAGGGTTGAAAATTTTTGAAAGACATGTTCATTTCATGATGTGAAGTCAAATATTTATCATTGTTTTGGTTCATTTTTAGCTGTAGGTGACTAGTGAAAAACATATTAAGGAATGAATTTGAAGTCACAGTTAGAAAAGTCAGAAAAAACACAGAACTCTTTGGCAGACTAGTTGAGTCACTGGTCTCAGGGAGGAAAGAAGGTTCTGGGCTTCCCCAAAGTTGTTTCAACAGCTAAGCACTTTAACTTTCAAATATGCTATTTAAACATCAGGACTGTACATAGGGAATAAAAATATAATTCACTTTGTAGTGTTCTTTTGGTATTGATTTAAATATGAGATATTACTTTATAAACTGAGAAAAACTTAGAAATGTTTTTAAATAAACAATGGTGAAGTTTTTTAAAATAAACAATGGTGAAGTATTTTAAAACAAACAATGGTTTTATGTATAGTTATGCACATACCTACACAGTAATTTTATTAATAAAGTTTTCTATATAGGTCTGATGGAAAATTCATAAATTGCCAGGCAATTTTTGTTCATAGACAATTTCTAGTATAAATAATTTTTAATAGTGCTAAGAATATAGTAAGTAAAATTAGAAGATAGTTCCTATTATTTCCCTTGCTTTGTAAAAGATTAATATTTAAACTATTTAAACTATATGTGTATGTGGTTGACCATAAGCATGCACAGTCTTGTATATTTTAATAATATAATTTCTAAAGTGAGAGGTAGACAAGATACCTACCTTCGTGGGTATATTCAGATGGACCTTTTTTTCTTGGTGTTTTATGTTGTTGTCTTTTCTGTGGCTGTGATGGATTTTGAAATCGTAAACCTGAGTAAGTTATTTCACTCATTACTGAAATGCAGAAAGAAAAGAAAATGAATAGAAAAAGTATAATTTCAGTGAATGTAAATAGAGATATTAGTAAAACTGGTATAAAAATATTAAATTTATCTTAAAAGTTAATATTTTTATGCTAAATAAAATCTAGCTATGATGAATTCTAGAAACATGCTTCATTATTATATTTTAGAAAATTTGAAAGGAACTGATGTGAGATTTTGCTCTCTACCAGAAGATAATTAACCCAAATTCCTAGAATCAAAAGACACATACTGTGGGAAAATTTATGATTTAACCTACTGAATTTTGAATTTTCTTACTTGCTTTCTTTAAATTTATATTCCATATAACTTATCAATTCTTAAATGTCATAAAATGTTACAGCAAGTAATAGTGATTAAAATAAATATTTAAAATAGATTCTTTAAAAATCTCTTAAACATATCTGATTTCCCTTCTAGCACCTCTTTTTACCCAAACTTTTCTCATGAACTTTCTTTCTCTGTGAGCCACACTTTTATTTATTTATCTTCCAAACCATATCTATTAACACACGAATATATATAGATTGCTTAAAAATTCAGTACTTAGGTATTATTGTAAGAAAGATATACATATGAATGTTGAATAAACTGTCTCTGATTATAAATCTTTAATTTCTTTCAATCTAATTTCCTCAAAATTCTAAACAAGCATATGTCGAGTAAGAGAATAAAGACCTGAGAAATTATAATTACCTGATTTATAGAAGAAAATGTCTAATCTTTTGAAGAGTACGTATCTATATCCTGGGAAGAAGCAGGTGCAAACTCTTCTTAAAGAAGTTGGAATGTAAAATCTGTGAGAGTCTCTAGGGTGGTACTAGAGATCAGAACAAAAGATAAAAAGAGAAATAAACGCATAGGCTAATACTGCTTTTGTCTCTCCCATGAGACACTCTGATAGGTGAGAGCAGAGGTCAAGAGTAAGAGAGCTCTGGAAACAACCACACAGGAAACTCTTACTGCTGCTCAATTTAGCTCTGCCTCATCTCCAGATTGGGCATTTCTTACCTTAAGTAACACAAGATACTCAACATATTTGCATAATGACCAATTCCCTTCATCAATCCTTGCCTTGTCAAGGAAATAATTAAATATCAGTGATTAGTTGCTACGGATATGCTTGTTAATTTTAATGTATTTTGTTTCATTCTAAAGTCAACCAGTATTTTTGGAAATGTTCTTTGAGCACTTTTCTGATGTCTCTTGCAGGCCTTTACAGTTCTAGGGCAGGTGTTGGATTTCATCACTAGATGGTGCATTCATAACCTGCCTCAGAACCCTCTACATTTCTGGTTAGTGGACTGTCCACAGATTCCCAAGAATCATCCCTATAAGTCATGTCACAGAAAGAAAACAACAGACCAGTTAAACTAATCAATGTCTTATTCATGCAGTCAGATATGTGATGGAAAACTCTTAACATTTCTACCATCTCATTATCTTTGATTAGTTTAAAGTTACATTCATCTGACCCTTTCTTTATCATTTTTAAAGATGTTAGCTAACAGATCTGGGCCATTTTTTCATCATCTCACAAAAATAACCCTATTTCATGCTACTAATTAAATAGAAAACCTTGCATAAATAAGAAATATGTGGAACAAGATAATAACTATTTTGAAATTGCATAATAAATTTAGAGAAAAGGGTAAATATAATAAAATACCATTAAATATAAGGAAGTATGAGAACTTTATGAATAAATAAATTTCAAAGGAAGAAACATTTTGATCTCAAATATTTAACTTTATATTCAATTTTTAAATTTCATATTGAAAATACTGTTGTAAATATGTATATTTGATAAGTATAAATGAAGTATTTCTTGAAAATCTGATGTTGTTATACACATGAAGCAGAAAGCACAAAAATTACAGATTTAACTATTAAAAATCAAAATCATTGACCTTTAAAGAAAAAGGAGAAAAAAAATCCTCTGAGCCATATATAGTGTCATAACCAATGTTACCTCAACTTAAAAAAAGAAAGAAAATCCAAAGTATAATAAGAAGCAACTATTTAACTAGTCATCTTCACAAATATATATACATAGAGAAAGAGAGAAGAATACCCACTTTAAATGAAATTTTGATGTATCGGTTCAATTAAGGGAAATTTATGGTCCATTTATTAAATATATTATATATATATATTTCTTTCACAACTGTATTACTACATAAATAATATTTCATTCAAATATTACAGAGAAAAATGGCTGAGTAAGGAGCTCTGAAGCACTGTCTCTCCACTAAAGTAATGATAAAGCTGGCAAAAAATCGCTCACAATACTTTTTCAAAACATCAGACTCTAATAATAATAAAAAATAACAATCAGAGGACTATTTAGTGAAGGATGAAATGGCCATATTTTTTAAATGAGAGTATTTGTTTTATTCAAAATTGAATGGAGGTAGGATGCAAATTACTTTTTTTTTTTTTAATTTGATCTCTCTCTGTTTGCTAAGGGGAGATGGGAACCTTTTAAATTTATTTTATTAACATGCTAAAATGAACTAAGTGCCTTTTGTTTGGTAGCATTGTTATATGAAAACCAGTGCTGTATTTATTACAAGAGCCAAGAACAGTTCTCAAATTGTTGGGTTAGAATTCCTTTCAACTCTTAAAGTTTATTAAGGAACCCACAGAAATTTTGTTATTTAAAATACATGTATCAATATTTTCCCTACTAAAAATAAAAGCTGCTATGTTCAAAAAGATTCACTCATGTATAAATGGTGTAGAATACATATATTTTATGTTAAAGTAAAAATTACATTTTTCAAAATAAATAAAAAATAATGCCAACATTGACATTGTTTATGTCTTTACAAACTTTTAATTTTCTGGTTTCATGAAAAGGCAGCTGAAGTTTTTTATCTGCTTCAGAATTTAATTTGTTGTTATATTGACTATGATATCTCAAGAATACTTCACACACTTGAGGGGTTTGATTAAAAAATAAATAGAAAAACCAGAAGGAGAATCAATTGGCCTTTGGGGCAAAACTGCTATTGAGGACAAAAAGAGGAATTGAATAAAATAATTCATTTGTCAGTTTTTTTAAACAAAATCTTGGCTAGAATAAAATCAATAAGAAAAATAAATCTGATACCTTTGATTAATTGTCTACGTACATAGACATTAGATTTTTGTTATTTCAACTTTAAGATTTTATTTTATCTGGGTTTCTACCACTACAGTACAAGACTCTTGGGATTCACTGGCAACCCACTAACAACCAATAATTTACATAATAAACAAGCAACCATTATGGAATCCCTAATGTGCTAGGTGCTGAGCATTGAAAGGCAAAAATAAACTTATTAACTTGGCATTAAGAAACAAGCATATCTTTTTTTCAAAGATTTATTTATGCATACAGAACTGGGGTACAGGCCAGGGGACATATAGGGGCTGTGAGAGGATTCACCAGAGACAGAGTGGGGAGCAGAACAGGTTGATTGACAAAGTACTCTGTTAAGGGGAGCAGCAGGCAGGTCAGGAGAGATCTTCCCATGCAGTGTGGGTCAGCTCCAGGGTGGGGATAGAACTCATGGGGAAGTGGCTTTAGCTTCTTAGTGCTGTGCTTTAACCTGCTGCGCCACCAGGAAGGGCCCACAAGCATATATTTTAAGTAATAACTTGCTACTGAAGTTGTAGGATGAAATGACAGTATTTAACAAGACTCTTTTAGAACAAATTGATCAAAAAAAATTGTTTTAAGTATAGGTCATTCTGTGATAAACCAGAATCTATCCAGACACCTGTTGGTATATATAGTTAAAAAGCTTTAGGAAGACAGTACAATTGTGAGACTGAATTATACTTCAAGACATATGTAAGAGGAGCAATGGAAAGAAGGGAGAGAGGGAGAGGAATTGATGGAAAGTACTGGAGACTACGGAGAAGCCAAAGACAAAGTTCAGAAGTGAATAAGCCTGCACAAGTGTTAGGGCTTAGACGCTTTATATCAGCCCTAAGGAAGTTTCCAGAAAGGGAGTGGCATAATCTGATGTGTATCATAAAAAGAAAGTTCCCTGTGTTAACAGTAATCTTAGAAGAGAGAATGCCTAGTGTGCTAGAAATATCTTCTAAGAAACATAACTGCAATTCAAGAAACATGATCTTGCCTCTACCATCTCATTTTGAGTATTTCAGTTAAGAAAACTTAAAAGTGACTTCTGCAATCTCTCTAAAGATAAATCTCTAAATAGAGAGTAGCAGTTTGGCCCATTCTGGTGCCAGCTGTGTTTACAAAGATGACATTTCAGAGAGAAAATAGAGAAAATGTCTTCTATCAAGAAAGCACAATGCACTATAGTGAAGGGCTATGGATGATTGAGTGGTGGGTGCACTACTGTAACATAAACCTGATAGGGAGATGGAAATATTACCTCAGTTAAAAATTAATTAAAGGGCCCTCCCTGGAGGCACAACGGGTGAGGACTCAGCACTGCAAGCTACTCACAGCCCTCTCAGAGCAAGTTAGATACTGGCCCCAGAGGTGATCCACAGGCACAACAGACCTCTCCTGTCTCGCCTGCTGCTCCCCTCAGCAATGTACCTCATCAATCTGCCTGTTCTGCTCCCCACTCTGTCTCTGGGTAGTCCTCTCACTGACCCTGCACCTCTGGCCTGTACCCCAAGTTCTGTGTGAATAAATAAATCTTTTAAAATAATAATGTTTTAAAAAATAATTTAAAATGTTTTAAATGAAAATAAATGTCCCTTATCAGTACATTTACACATGGAAAAATAAGTCTTTAAAATATGAAAAATGATAACATTGAAATGTTTTCTCTGTTAACCATTTACAATGATGCTAAGACAAAATTTATGACTGTAATTCTGATTGGGTTGTTGCTAATTTGCCAGCATTATCAATCACTTCCAAATATATGTGTATTTCAGTTCTATCTCTAAATATAATACTGCATAGTTGTGAAATCTAATTCACACTCAGTGTAGTCACTAGTGGCTTTATATGCACACAAGTAACACAGCTATAGTTACTTTCTAACTCTTAGGAAACATATGATGTTTTTTGTAAATTATTGTGAGCATTTCCATCTTTTTTTCTATTTCTGCTCTTCTTTTTCTGTCAATGTGAAAATATCTAATTTGCAGTTTGTGGTACATTTTTCTTCAGCTTTGTGTTTGTTTTATTTTTTTGATGGATTACTTTCTGCAGGTAGGGATATTTTATTCCCACCCATAAATTATTGAAAGGTTTTATGTGAACATGGTCTTCCACCCTCAAAGCCTAGTCACTCACTGACCCGATTCCTAGTTAGAGAGCTCCCTCTTCTGTCAATTCTCCTCTCTTCTGTGCTGTTTCCTTTATGGATGGTGATGACATTAGTGGGGAGGACAAAGGTATCTTTGTTTCTTCTCTTTCTTTTCTCTAGGAGCTTCAGATTCTACCAATTGTTCTTTGCTTTCATACTCATTTCTCTAAGACACCCCACCTCTTCTTTGTCATCTGATATTCCTGGAGGAGAAACAATGTTTTCTTGGTTTTCTCCGTTCTTGTGTTACATTTCACATCCTTTCCCACTGTAATGAACTCAATCCCAAACTACAGTATTTTGGAATTTACTGTGGCATTTTCATCTTCTTGGGTTGGTTGTGCCTGGACTCCTTAGATCTTTTTTTTCATAGGATAAGTTGAGGACTAATTAATTCCCTTAGCCAGCACCATGGCATTTGGTATTAGGCTGCATTGAGAGCTTTGTTAGAATTTCTTATTTAATTTGAAGGTTGTCCTACTGTGTCTCTAGAGATGCTTAAAAGATATGGGTCTTGTGTGGCTTTGTTTTTGTTGTTATTGTTTGATATATGTATCGGGAGAAAGGAGAAGAACAAAGCAGAATAGCCTAATAAATTTTGGTTTATAGTTGTTAGTTGATTTTTTTTTACTTTATTACAGTTACTATATTTTTTTCCTGATGCCTTACACTCCTGCTATGAGTGAACAAACTGAAGATTATTGTAAAGATATATATATAAGAGAAAAAAAGTAAGATAGATGGGCCTCCGTGGTGGCACAAGGGGTTAAGTCTCAGCATTGTGGAGCTATCTGTAGCACCAGTTTGACCCCCTGTCGCCAGGGAGCTGCAGACCTCTCTTGCCCCACCTGCCTCACCTACCTAGGATCTGTATTTCAATAAATCCGTCTGATCTGTTCCCCAACATCTCTGGTGAATCCTTTCACCACCACCACCATCCCTCCCACCTCCGGCCTATACTCCAGTTCTACATAAAAATAAATAAAATCTTTAATTAAAAAAAGAAATTTAAGAAGACTGAAATTATACAAACTCTCTTTTATTTTCATCACAGTAGTATGACTCCATAGCAGAAAGAATACTGGAAAATTCACCAAATTTATTCTGTCACCTGTTTTTGTAAATAAAGTTCTTCTGTAAACAGACAATTTCTATATTAACAGTGTCTTCTTTTCACTATTATGGCAAAGTTGAAGTTTCAATAGTGAAAGGCCCATAAAGTTGAAAATATCCTCTATCTAGTTCTTTAGAGAGAACTTTGCAAGTCCTGCTCAAGGATATAAATACAAAAGTTTCAGAAGATATAAAATTATGATATGAAAGAAGGGAACTAAGTGGAAAGAAATCATAAATTTCCAAGGAGTTTACTGAAGTAAAACATTAGTAAAGTTGAACAATATAATACAACAGGAAAAAGGAATGAGGTGAGTTCAACAGGAAACTGGGGACCATGAAACACCCCATTGTTCCTATTTGCATAAAAACACGGTTCATCTTTAGGGAAGCTGCTGATACCTGGATGTAGGAGAGCTCAAGAAGAAAGTTCCTACAGAGTCTGGTCAAGTTAACTAGTTGACCAGTGGTAGAACAGTTGGAAGTTTTGAACTTGCGAAAATTGACCATAAATTATTATACAGATAGATAATTGACTGATGATAGACAGATATTAGTTAGTTCATTATCCTTATTGCAGCTGGAGTCAAAAACTGACTGAATCATACATGAAAGGAATAAATGAAGCAGTCACTATTTGCAGAGGACATGATAATATCCACAAAAATATCTTCATTTTCCTTATACTGTTCCATGAAGTACCAGAGGTTTCAGTTGTGATGAAGTCAAATTTATGAATTGTTTTGTCATTGTTTATACTTTTGGTGTCTTATTTAAGAAATTATTGCACAACCCAAGGTTACAAAGAATTGCACATTTTCTTCTGTGAAGTTTACAGATTTGCTTTTACATTTAGTTATTGATCTATTTTGAGTGTTTTTTTTTAATGTATCCTGTGAGGTAGAGATAATAGTTATTACTAAGCTATCTAGTTATCTCAGTCCATTTGTTGAAAAGTCCATTAATTATTTTACCACTAATACCATTTCACACCTGTGAGAGTGGCTATTAACAAAGAGAAAAAAAGCATTTGCTGAGGGTAGATAGTAAAATGTAAAAATTAAAATATATAGATATCCAGAAAGAACTAACTTCCAGAAACAGGAGACAAAGATGGATCGTTTAGATTTAGATTTAGTGACTTACAAAAAACAAAATGATGTTGACATATTTTGTTGTGAATTTTTTATTTTATTTGAATTTCTATGAAGAAAATTTACAAAAGTATACACATCGCATATTAAATGTAATATTAAACATGCATTAAATAAAAATATTAGCAGTTTTATCTTGATGTTTTATAATCCTAATTATGCAGAAATCTCATCAATCTTACAACATTTCTCAAATATATTAAAATTATTTAAGTCACAACTGGAAACATTTGGGGGGGTTCAAGTAGATAATTAGTAATAACATGATGTAAAGATGCCATTCTTTTTTTTATTATTTAAAGATTTATTTATTTATTCATATGGAACTGGGGTACAGGCCAGAGATGTGGATGGTGAGAGAATTCACCAGAGACAGAGTGGGGAGCAGAACAAGCACACTGCTGAGGGGAGCAGCGGGCGGGTCAGGAGAGGTCTGCCTCGCCATGTGGATCTCCTCCGGGGCAGGCAGGAACCGAACCCATGTGGAAGTGGCTCTAGCTTCTTAAAGTGCCCGTAAAGATGCCATTCTTAAGGTGGATCTTCCTCATCCACCATATCTTCCCCAAGAAAAACCTAATTAAATCTCTGCTTACAGATATAACGATTTTTACTTTCACAGTTTTCATCCAAATCACCACCGTTAGGACTGTACATTTTGCAGTACTTTGCACTTGTAGTCAGACTGAATGGAAATCTGTAATAAAATCATAGATATTAACACATGCAATAAGAAAATGAGAATGTTCAGGGGTGACATTTCTATTAGGAAAATAAGCTAAAGCATAAAATTTGTATTACTAAAACTCTCCACATCACATGTTTATAAATGAAAATGAGATTCAAAGATTACATATACAGAAAATATGTACAGAGTATTTGAAATAAGGGAACATGATAAAGATACTGGTCTCCAGCAGACTAAAGAAATCATGGACATAGTGTCTGCTCTGGCCAGCCCATGGCACCTGCATATCCCACACAAACCCTGTATCTCTTAAGAATAGACTTGAGGCCCTTCCTGGTGTCACAGCAGGTTAGGACCAGCACTGCAAGCTTGCCACAGCTGCTTCAGTATCGGTTCGATCTCTGGCCCAGAGGTGATCCACATGGTGCAGCAGACCTCTCCTGAACCACCCACTGCTCCCCTCAACAGTGTACTTCATTAGTCTGCCTGTTCTGCTCCCCACTAGGTCTCTGGCGAATCCTCTCACTGCCCCTCCTCCTCTGGCCTGTACCTCAGTTCTGTATGTGTAAATAAGTAAATCTTAAAAAAGAAAAAAGAATAGACTTGATGTTCTGGATGAAACTACAGTAGTTGTTCTCTTGAATGTATTTCTGCATTCTGGACAGGCTAACCCCAGTGTGGTTACATGTTGTATTCTATGGTGAGATCAAAGGACAGACCCATACAGAACAGAAAAGCCTGGAAACTTACAGATCTGGAGACACCCTGGAGCCATTCTCCCCCACCTGGCTACCATGGTTTGCACTGGAGACAGCATCAATCCAGTAAAAATACTGATTAGTCTTCATAAAGGACTGTTTGGAAACAAAAAAATTTAAATCCACTCTGGTGTAATACATCTTTATAAAGTATGATTAAGACTTGAATCAAAGTACACAAGAGCAGACTTAATTTTTCAATCACATAAGCTGAAACATTTTTAACACCTAGTTTAGAGTATAGTCACATATCTTCTGCTGTCTCATTTAGTTGGTGCTTACATTTCTGGGGAATAAAATATCACAAACTCTCACTTCTTGAAGGAATAAAAAATATTATATAGGGAGTTAGAATTGTCATGGAAAACTTCTTTCATAGGACACCAACAATCAACAATCGAATTAGATTTCAGATTGAGTGATCTCTTGAGAGAAACTCTAAAGATGTAATCTATTGCATTTCTATTCAGCACAAGTTCTGCAGCACAAGTTCTACCAGAAAAATGCTTCCTTCTTTCTTAAAAATTGAACAATTGCTATGATCATGTTCTCCATATTCATTTCACAGTATATCCAAAATGATGATAAAAGACACACACACACACACACACACACATATACACACATACACATATATTTTTTCAATGAAAAAGTTAAAAATTACAAAGTCATTTAGTTGGTGCTCTGAGTGAAAATAATGACCTATTTTTCTTCTTTGAATTATCTATGAAACATTCCTAGTACTTTAGCTGATATTTGTCTTGAATTTTATTCCTGTAACATAAATATTTGAGTAATTTTATATGGATTTTACAATAATTGTTTCAAGTGCAAAAAAACAGCTATGCATTTGTTATCTGATAAAAAGTTTAAATCAAAGTATTCAGCTTACTTAAGTGTTATGTTACATACTTAGTCAAAACTAGATACATGCCAATTCATCTTTGCTGTCCTTTGGAAGTAGAGTAGAATTCAGGGATTCACAGAATATTCTACTGACACTCCAAGATTTATGGTCTGTGGAAATGAAGTAACAGTTACACTTGTACCCAATCCATCCTTCTCTACAAGAACAGCAGCCAGGGTCTAAGAGGAAAAAAAAAAAAAAAAAACATGATTTATGACAATGGATTTTTTTTCAGTGCTCTTTACTCATGCAAAAATCATTTGTTATTGATTCTTTTTATCTACAAAAGTCATTTGTTATTGATTCATTTTTTTTCTGCAAATGTTCATTGAGCATCTAGTAATATCCCCACAGTTCAGGGGAAATTAATGTGGATAAGTTAGGCAAGACCCCTTATTCTCACGAAGATAATTATATGCTAGCAATAGAGTTAGAAAAATACAATTATCATATAGTTTCTGGTCATCTGTAAGCACACTTAATGATGCTAACTTTGGGTAGGTAACACAGGTATGTGAAATAGCAGAATGCAATAGGAATAGTGGTGTTTAGAAGAATCCTTTTGGAGAAGTGATCCAAATTAATCTTGGATGTTTAAATTGAAGCAAAGAGATCAAGGATCTCTTTGAAAGAGAAAAACATTTTAATATATTTCCTGAATCATATCTGATATACATACTGGATATTTGATTTTCAAAATGATGGTAAATAAATCAATTAGCTTGAAATTTCACCATAAAGTTTACAGTAATAATGCCTTGAGCATCTACTGACTTCTGTGTAAGGTCATAGACATGGCAGGCACACAGATCTTTGCCAAATGAGTGGTGCTGTAGAGTAGAATGTTGTTCCCAGGTGCTGAGGGTAGGAGTGTGGAGGGTCGGGGTCAGGGAGGGTAGGGGTCAGGAATGAGCAGTACTGGTTAAAGGATACAAATATGCAGTTAAATGAGTAAGTTCTGAAACTCTGATGCACAGCACTGTGATTATAGCGGGCCACACTATAAATATTTTAGTTAATCCTACTTGTAAACTGCAACAAAGAATAGATCTTAAATGTTCTCAAATAAAAAGAAATAATAATTATGTGACATGATGCAGGTATAGCTAATACTATACATATGCCACAATATGTAAATGCATCAAATCAACACAATGCAAAACTTAAACTTGCACAATGTCAAAGGCACTGCAATAAACTAGAAAACATTTAGTAAGAAAATATATGATCATGAAAGACAGGCAGACAACTTGGAAAGCTTTAGAGAAAATACATTAAAATATTGACATTGCTTTGGCTTTCAGGGTTTAAATATCCAGAAACCTCTACCTTGTGCACTAAGTTGAGTCAGGAAAGAAGCAAAATCAAAGGTAAAGAGACAAAAAAGTATAGATTGTGGGCAAGAGCCCGTTGGCTGTCATATTGACTGTAGCTTACTCTTGATTTTTACTTGGGATGAGCACTCATGTAAGAAAAATATAAGTTCAGGCAATACTTTCCATATTTCTTAAGATATAAATGATGGGTAATCAATGTAAGGTATCAATTCTTATGCCAAACAATGAAAGGAAACGATCCACAATTAATTAGTAGGCAAACATGTATTATGAGGTGTAATATTCCAGCATGATTCTGCATGAGAAAAGCAAGTCACCTAGTTCATACTCTACCAAAAACAAGGCTTGCAAAGTAGGGAACCTACCTTCCTGGAATTCATTTGTGGGTGCTGGGGAGATTGTTGACTCAGGATTTTGTTGAAGTTCTGTAAGAACTGATTAGAAATCTACTTAATAAGTTATAGGTCTATAAAATAATAATAAAATAATAAAATACTACACATTAGTAAAAGGAAACCTTTACTATTATTTTACCAGAGTTTTGATATTTATAAAACTTGCCTAGAAAACTTACCTTTTCTCAATAGAATTCCCAAAGTAGCCATCAACAAAAGGCATGTCACTCCTAAAATCCCAGAAATCCACCTCCATGCATTGGTGCAGAAAGCTGTGGAGACAGGGGAGTAGGATAATGACTTAAGAAAGACTCTTTGAAGCATCTGGGAAGCCTCAAAGAATCTTGGATAAGTTACAGAATGAAGAGTCACAAAAGTAAAATTAAGTAGAAAGTACTGACAGATGGAAAACTGAAAAACGTCAATTTTTCCCCAGCCTTGCTATGAAATTAAAAATATCCATGACAGAGCTTTTCTGGCTGTTTTTGTTGCTTAATTGTTGGCTCAAGCTGCACATACCTGCCATGAGGAGAGACACTCCGAGTCGATGTGGGGAAGGCTCGCAGTGTGCTGGTTCCAGAAGATCCCGGCTTGGTCACTGGAATCTTGAGTTTGTGTAGAAAGAAATTTAAAAGAAATAAAACTTTGCATTCAAACAATGGTCATAAATCATCTACTGGTGAGACACGGGTGTAGACTATGAACAAGAAGCAGCAAAATCACCAGCTTCTAACCTGTTCCGGAAACACAGCACAGGAAATTCTTACTATACTTGCGTCCTGAGAGCCCTTTGACTATCACAATAGAATATAGTGGAGGTATTTAAATGTTTGAATATCAAAATCATTTTTAAACATGGCATTTTGGAAAAGTGTTTTCTAGAATGGTCAAGAAACAAAGGACAAGTAATTCTTTTGCTGAAGAGCAAAAAAAATGGTAAAAAGTTCTAAATTAAATGGCCAAGGCATTGATAATTGTTTGGGTGGGAGGCAGAATCAGGAAGCAATAATTGTGTGAACCATCATCTCAAAGCCAGAGGAATAAATTAAGTTTCATGAAATACATGAAAATCTAAATGTTCAAAGTTCTTTCTTGACATTTTTATTTCTTGTTTCATTTAAATTTTAGCTGAGGTAACATTGGGGTACCCTTGTCAGTATTACCACCATCCTGTACCCACCACGGAGATCACCCATATTCTCCCACCATAACCACTATGCTGCCTTCCCTCACCGTCTCTCCTCTCCACCCAATCACTGGTGTTTAGTTCTGTAGTCAGCTATCAAGGATTTTTTTTTCCTTTGTTCACTTTTTTCTGATTATTGTTTCATGAATTTACATCCCATAGTTTAAAATCTGCATAGTATTTATTACAGTGAGACAGTATACACATGGATGATTCACTGTTTGTAGAGGTAGAGGGATGAACATGAGTTGTTAATATGTAAGAGATACATTAATGTCAGAACACTTAAATCTCTCCAAAGGAAATAATAAAGCAAGAAGTTTCTTGCAGATATAAAGGCTTTGATAGTATGTGTATATTGTCCCTTTTTCCCACACTGTACAGGATGATGCTGATAGAGAATGTGTGAGAATGTGTGAGTGTGTG